ACATCATTATGTAGAGTTTTAAGTGAAGTTCTCCTTCGTGATCAAGGTAATTTATAAAACTCATTAATATTTTTAATGTATATCTATATTTCTCATTAAAATGATGTCAGTAACCAACTCCCAATCAAACACTTGGCACAGCACTTAACTCATGAAAAAGGCTCATCAAACTAACAGTGCGGGGCTAAATAAGGAGGAGCGTGGGGAGTGCCGTTCTTTTATTAAAACAATTAATGCAGGGCTGATTACTTGAGCTAGTGGTCAGCAAGCCGTACCAGTTATCAGACTGTTTTTTGAACCGTAATAAAACAGTTCGACCATTAAAAATCATCGGTATATACCGACCACCTTACTCTGAAGCCCATCCCGTAACTCCTAATGTCTTCTTCGAGGAATTCTCTGCCTACCTGGAAAATATTGTCATGTGCCCCGATGTTCTACTCATTTCCGGTGATTTCAATTTTCATCTCGACATTCATACTGACACTGATGCTCGTAAATTCTCGGCTTTACTGGAAACTTTTGGCCTTATTCAACATGTTACTACACCTACGCATATATCTGGTCATATCTTAGATCTTATTGTGACCCGATCATGTCATGATGTGCTTCTACAAACTCCTCAAGCTACGCTCTCTATCTCCGATCACTCCTTCATTGAAACTACTATCGCCTTTCCTCGCCCTGAACTTTCGATAAAAGAAATCAGCTTTCGTCAGTACAAGAAAATCGACCTTGAGACTTTCAAGAACAACATTCTTGAATCTGAGTTACATCATGATCCTCCATCTGACCTTTTAAACTTGGCTAAGACCTATGACAAAGTACTTACAGATATTTTAGACATGAATGCTCCCTTGCTGCACAAAACTGTTACTGTGAGGCCTAAGGTCCCGTGGTTTAATCAAGAATTGAAGGACTTGAAAGCTAAGCGAAGGAGATTTGAGAAGAAAATGTTGCGAAGTCATCTGGAATCTGACAAAGATGCCTATCGCGAAATATGCAACAAGTATACAAAGCTACTCCACGACTCTAAACATCTTTACTACACTGAAGAGATTAATCAATGCTCTGGCGATTCCCGTAAGCTATTTCAGGTTGTCTCCTCGTTGTGTAATAGGAAGCAAGAATGTCCGTTACCACCTCATAAGGACAGTGAAACACTCGCCAACGACTTCGGTGATTTCTTTTGCCGCAAAATTGATCTGCTAAGAGAAGAAATTGACAACGTTCATATAACACCTCCACAAATTCATTGTCATCCACCTGAAATTCAACTTCGTTCATTCTCTACTGTTACTGAAAGGGATGTTCGTGGTGTCATCATGACCTCCTCTAGTGCTTCTTCTAAACTTGATCCAATTCCTACATGGTTGCTCAAGTTATGCATTGATGAACTTCTCCCAGTAATAACTGAAATGGTAAATCTCTCCATCCGTGGTGGACTTGTTCCTCCTGATTGGAAGTGCGCTCTTGTCAAACCACTTTTAAAAAAACCTGATCTTGATCCTGTTCTCAACAACTTTCGACCTGTCAGTAATCTACCCTTCATTTCAAAGTGTGCTGAAAAACTTGTACTTCAACAACTATTATCGCACTGCTCTGAGAATGCACCATTACCCAACAACCAATCTGCCTATCGGAAATTCCACTCTACCGAAACCTGTCTACTTAAGGTCTATAACGACATCTTGTTGAGCATGGATCGACGAGAGGTTACTCTTCTCGTATTACTTGACTTAAGTTCTGCATTTGATACTATCGATCATGAATTACTACTTAATTTACTTGAATCTGATTTCGGTGTTACTGATGATGCTCTTCAGTGGGTCCGTTCCTTRTTATCTGAAAGACAACAGCGAGTGGTTATTGGTAAATCTGGCTCTAAAGACTACCAAATGAAATATYGAGTCCCACAAGGAAGTTGTATTGGTCCAATCCTGTTTCTGCTGTATACCTCACGACTTTTTAAACTTATGGAAAAACATCTACCTGACATGCAAGGCTACGCGGATGACACTCAACTTTACATATCCTTCCGACCGTCATCTTCTGATGATATTGATAGGGCACTATCTGCTTTGAGTGCTGCTGTTGCCGATGTTCGCGCTTGGCTTACTTTTCACAAACTGAAATTCAATGACAACAAAACAGAGTTTATCATCATTGGTACTCGCCAACAGCTTGCTAAAGTGGATATACCTTCTTTAAGATTGGGATCAGCCGACATCACACCTTTAACTAGTATCAGAAATCTTGGCATGTGGTTTGATGAACATTTGTCTATGAGTGATCATGTCAGCAAGACCTGCAGTAAAGCCTTTAGAGGACTTTACAACATCAGACAAATTAGAAAATTTCTTACTACAGATACAACTAAGATCTTAATCCATGCCTTTGTTACATCACACCTGGACTATTGCAACTCATTACTGTTTGGTATTCCTACTTATCAACTAGAACGTCTTCAAAAAGTCCTCAATGCAGCTGCACGAGTTGTGTATTATATTCCTAAATTTGACCATATTACTCCATCTCTGATAAATCTTCACTGGCTTCCAGTAAAGGAAAGGANACTATTTGTATTTTTTCTGTTTTGTAAAATTTCTAAACGCATAGTCTTAGGCTAACATTGATGTATTAAGCCAAAGAGAAATATTCCCGAGACTATTTCAATGAATTGTAGAGAAGTATGTCAGCGAACAACACAAAAAAGTGCAGTTATGGTCTTGTATCCATGCAATATTCTACTTTACCCTCGATTTCATGCTTACAGGTCACGTGACTACCCATAAAACAGTAGATACCATTAAATGCTTAGGTTTGAYGTTTCTGCAAAGTTTTGTGTTCAACTGTTGTTAAATAAGAGAGTTAAAAGGAAGTTACTATCCCAGCCTCGTTTTCATGTTGGAACCAACATGTCATTTTTTCAATCCTCCTTAATTCTCATCCTAGCAAGTTGCAGAGTTGCCACCAAAATTTKTCATGCTCACTAGACCMTAATWAACACTTTAAGACAGGTGGCTTGCTTTCAGCACGAAATTCCCACAGAAATACATTTGCTCCTGGACTAATATGTGGGGATTTTGTCGTTGCTCTCCGTGTCTTATGGCTAAGAAAAATGGACTGTTCGGCTCMTTCATCTMGTCTGGTCTATGGCTCTTGAACAGCTTATAATACTGAACGGGACATCTGTAGGAGTTCCTGGCTTGTACTCATCGCCGCTTAATTTCCTGACATCTTTGAAAAACTTCGCCAGTAAGTGGTCTAGTGCTTCTGCCGGTAAGTTGCTGATATTAGTATCTTTTTGGTTGATTTCTGATAAAAAAGACGTAGAATGCGTTTATGTCACTCAAGGTTTTCTTTTGAGTGTTCTTGCTTTTTTGTTCTTGGACGAATTTTTCAAGCTCTTCCTGGCTGTTTGTGTACATGACTTCGTCGTTGTCGTTCACATTTTCTGCAGTGATTGAATAACAATTGTCATCTTGCACTTCGTCGGGATAATAGAATTCGTCTTCATCATGTTCTTCGTCAGACATAGTGTTTTTCAAGCGAAATTAACAAACCAAAGTGCAAAAACAGTGAATTGAAGTTACTTTTGTTRTTGTTTTGTTACAATCGGTCCGGAAAAAATCTTATTAAATTACAGCCCTCTCACGGAAGCCAATCAGCCAATCAGAGCGTGCGTACTATCTAAGCCATATAATAAAGCTTTTTATCCAACAACATTATTTTGTATGGTAAAAGATTAAACTGTTTACGGTCGATCTCACTAACATTGCATGTATAAATGCACACATTAAAAAAGAAAACTATTAATGATAAATTGTAAAGCGCCGAGCCCTATGAGCTCACTGATAATGTGCTAAAATTAAAAAATTTATATTTATTATTTAACTAGTCATTTTGCATTTTTGTARTTGCCTGTTGTTAAGAGTAYTTTAACAGGTGTTAATGTTGTATAACAGATTATATAATACAGATAACATAATCTATTCATCATTTCAACGGAATAAAAGAAATGCTTTGCAAGTGAATTTATTGATGTTTCAATAACTTTTGTGCTTATTGTATACAAGTGATGAGAACTGAACTTTTAATAAGTACCATTTTACATGTATTTAAAGTGCTAGTCTTAACAAAAAACTGAAATTCTTGAAATTTATACAGAATAAAATATAAATAYCAAATAGTATTCTGGCCGTTTTTTGTGTCTATACGTGTCTAACGAAAAGATATCTCTTTCAACCAATGAATTTCGCGTTTTCTGATCCGCCATTATTTGAGAGCGTGCCGTCCAACTCATTACATATTGATAGGAAGTGACGTCAGAGGCGCACTCGCGCCAAATTCAACAAGAGTTCGCGGTAAATTTTCAACTAGTGGTAGTGGTCTTTTACTTGCTGTTGTTAACTTGTAGTCGGCTTAATTTTAACACAAACCTAGCAAAAACCACGACAACATGCCTCCAAGGAGGTGTGTTGTCCAAGATTGTTCCAATGTT